GAATTATGATGCAAAGCATAAAGTCCCATGGCTTGAAGAAGTAACAGCCCTAACCATTTACGCTTTTCAAAACTCCAGGCCGGACATACCTCTAATGCTGCCCTCAGTTCATCTAACTTGGGTCCCACCCCAAGCGGCAGATTCAACTCCTCCCAAAACGCTTTGTATTGGTCATGTTCAAAACTTTCTGTTGGCACTGTATCTGTGTTTAACCCAGTGATCTCACCAAATTCGAGTAAGCTAAACCTGATAGGTTCATCACCAACTAGACTCCAAATCTCCTTCAAGTATACTTGAAGCTGTCGACACAGTAGATAGTGGACAGTCCTACCAGACCACACGCTTTTGCGTTCAGCTAGCTTCACAATAATTCCAAGAGGACCCGGCCTCATGTGATCCCACACATCCCTTCCTATTGCTTCTCTAACGTTAGGGAAATCTCCCATCTGCAAATTGTGATTAATCTCTTTATTTTCTAGATTAGAAGCCCCTTCAGCGTAAAGTCGTGGATGATAAACCCGTGCTTGATCTTCAGAAATAGCCATCTGATCCTAAAACACATATATAGATAAATCAGCCGCAATAGAAACAAAACTCAGCAACAACATAATAAATAACCCAGCCACCATATCAATAACTCAGCCAAAACATAATCAATAACTCAGCCAAATCATAAATAATAAATAACTCAGCCACAACATAATATATAACTCGGCCACAGTAATCAATAACTCAGCCAAAACATAATCAATAACTCAGTCGGATCATAATCAATAACTCAGCCACTTCATAAATCAAATTCAACTCAGACACACTATACAATAACTCAGTAACAACATAATCTATAAATCAGACACGTCGTAAATCAAGCTCAGGCACAACATACTAGAGAAGATGAGAAGATGATGTCGTAGATACGATTACGTCGAAACTTTTACGGAGAAGAGGATGTCGACGAAGATGATATCGGAGACGGTTAGGGTTTAACGAGGTCGACGAAGATTATTTACGATATCGGAAACACTGTTTGAAACGAGAGTATTAGTTGTGACGAAGATGATTTCGTGATTTTGTAATCCGTTAGGGTTTAACGAAAGTTGTGACGGAGAAGAATGTGACATTAAGACTTTTTTTTTGTTCACCCGAGATATGAGACTGTTGATTTTCCAGTGTAGCTGTTGATGACACAAATTAGTTAGTGACGTGGATTGTCAAAATTATGATGTGGATTTAATAATTAAAATTTGTATCAATAGTAACAAAATTAAGCAAGGGTGTTTATTGTAATTTACTAGGAGTCTAAAAACATTCTAGGAATTTTTAGAAAATGTATACTATTCTAGTCATATACAAGCTTTTGTGTATCATTCTAGTAATTTTCTCAAAAAGAAACTGCAAAGATAATAGAAGCATGGATGATGTTTCACAAAATGTACCATAAAATTTGGGAAGATTCGCAAGGGCTGGTTAAATCGTGTGTAACACACCAAACATGGGAACTTGGTTTATCGTAAAAGAGATTACATTTCAAGGTTCCATGTTGTTTCTGCAATCAATTTGGGCGTTTTCACTTCCTCCGCCAGATTCATAGACGTACATACCTGCTTGAAAACAAAAAGAACAAAAGCTCATCAACAAGCAAACCTTTCGTACACTAAAGTTTTGAAAGTCCTCTTAGAAAACAGTAGTTGCTGCAAGAGAAATCAATACACACAACAATCTAAAACCCCTGACATGGGATCCCACGAAAACAACACTAGTGTCTTACTCAAGCTGATACAGACTCTTCGTAATGTTTACCTTGAAAGATCCAATTGATTTGGAGGTCCTTGACCACTCCATACCAAGCAACCTACTAGAGGTCTGAAAGTAGCCTTGAGAACATCATCACCATAAACTCTCCGAGAAACCGCAAAATCCCAGGCGTTTTTGGCAAAGTCGTAGCACGGCTCGAACGTAGCAATCTTCCCCTCAGCATAAGTATACATAAGCTTACAGTTGTTTGTTCCTACCATGTGATTAACCGAGAGTTTGTTAGCAGGATCAATCAAAAGTCTCCCATCGACTACTGTTCTGTGATCAGCTCTGCTATGAATGTAAGTCAGATTCAATGGCTTCTCAGCAATCCTCACTTTGTTCATGAACTGAAACCTAACATCCTGTAAACACAGACAAAATTGAGTTCCCTAGGTTTAATTGTAAGCAATCAAAAGAGGAGGACGGTGAAAGGAGTTACTTTCTTAGGGACGTTATACTCGACCATAAAGAAACCAGGCTTCTCCGCGGCGACAGAGAGGCCGTTCAAGGTAGGACCAGTGACGAGGGTAGCATCGGTCATGGTGACGCGTAGCTTAAAATCTCCGGCGTTGAAGGAGAGTGAGCCAACTCCGGTGCTCTTGTCGCCATCATACTTGCCTTTGACTGAAGCCTTCATCGTTTCTACTCACCCTAGAGGTAGAAAGTTGAGAGAGAGAGAGGTTTGGTTTGGTGAGAGCGGCGAAATGAGAGACGATAAAACTCACGGTCGCGATATTCTCTGCTTCGAATCTTCTTCGTTCGCACGTGCGAATCCCTTTTTGCTAGCCAAAAATGTCTGGTTTCGTCAATAATTTTTGGCAACAGATACATGAGAAAGTCATAAAATAAAAATATATTAGTACATTTTTTTTTTGTCGACATTTGGTTTTATTATTAAAACCATGCCCAATGGCCCATACAAGAAGTTCAAGGATTTTAAATTATATAATCAGCCCAAAGTGAATCCAAAATTAAAAGATAAGGATGAACATAAACCTAACACGTGTAAACTACGTGTTTTCTTCTTGAACGTCATTGGAACTTTGTTGATCAACTCCGACTACTGTTTGAACCGAGTTCGGTCTGTTCAGTAAATGAGAGACATGACTCGTTGGTGAGTTATTTCAAAGGCGTTTTCTCACTATTTAGAGTCAAAGATATAGTTTTATTGATGAGAGTTCGATTACAAATGAGGAAATGAGAGGCGAGGCGGAGTCTCGCGGGGAGCTCGGCCGTGCCATACAAGTCGGAAAAGAAGTAAAGTAGTGAAAACCCTAGTTCTAGCCGCCTTGTGAGTGAGAATGATTTCAGATCTTTTCCTCGTTTCCTATTTTCTCCCTTTTATAGTAGTCATACCTTAACCTAGTATCGCGGATCCGGAGGGCTTTAGCCAAATGGGCCTTGGTCAGCCTGCTAGGTTGAGCACTTTGCCTAAAAGCCCCTTTAACTCGGCTAATCGCAGGGATTAGCCGAGCTAAGCTCGATTAATCGTCGATTACCGGAGAGCTACTTCGTTGGGCCTGAACTCGTATGGGCTGAGCTTGTTGTTATATGGGCCTGGTGAGAAAGAGTATTCCACCATCTACAGTAAGTCTCCCAGATCAAGCTGGTCCATGGAATAATAAGGTCAGTTGATACATTACGTCGTCTTCCCGAACAGCGATTCTCCGACTCGCGGGTTCGAGTACGATTGCTTTTGCGATCATGGGCCGTAAGCATGGGGCCCGTTTCCTTCGCTAACGCTAACCCCGAGTTCGTCTACAACATGTTCGTGGTTGTTAGCTCGGAGCTCGGACGAGAGTGCGAACAGTCGTGGGGTCCAGAAGTTTCTTGGGAATTGAAGCCCATTTAACTCGGAATATGAACAGTTGCGAGTGGCTTTTAGGACCAACTAGGCTCGACTAGACCTAATTAATACCTTTGAGCTCTTCTTTGCCTATAAATACTCCTCCTCTCTTCATTCTCTTCACTTCTCCGTTTCTGCAGGTACTTCTTCTCTCCCTTCTCTCTAGTTTCTCTCTCTAGATTATTGTAGAATATATACATCCGTCGTCGGTAAGATGTGCCCACGAGTAAGGCTGACACGCGAAGAGAAAGGGAAGGATATCGCGACTTCGTCGAGTCCGGCTAGGGACGAGACGACTAACGAACCCCTAGAGAATTTCAGTTTAGAGCACAGGAACGCGCTGATGGACGTAGACGGCCTCAGTCTTTCGCAGCGGCTCCTAGTCGTCGATACTGAGAGAGAACTCAGGGGCGATGATGCGGGAAATGCCGCGGCACAAATGATGGGCGATCCCCGAATTGAGCGACCTCGAGCACCGCCGCTCAGATCTTCGAGAGCGAACTTTAGCCGACCTCGAAGAGGAGGCTCAAATAGATCCCACCAGACGGGCTCCGGCCGGTCTCGATCGACGGTTCCTGACCAACCGAGAACCGTTTGGTACATTTCAGATAACGCGAAGCGAGTCGAATGGGAGAAGCTTCGTCCGGCTCCGACTCGCTACACGGGAGAAATTAACTTCAAGAGGAGAACCGTGATCCTGCAAGAGGTGCTGCGTCCCGCCAAAATCGCCGGCCAGGATTGGCCGAACACTTTTGAGACAGAGTCGACGGTGGAGACCATCGAGAATCTTCTCATAGCTCGGAATGCCACAGGAAAGGCTTATTTGATTCCGAGCTACGATCAGCGCCCGTGGTCGCCGCCAGTCGGCTATCAATGTGTATACGAGTCCTATTTCGGGAACCACACTAGGCTTTGGTTTCCGATTCCTCGTATGCTGACTTCTTACGTCGCTCGTCGGGGAGTGGCGATTAGTTAGGTGGTGAAGGGGTCATTCCGCACAATGGTCGCGCTTATGGTGATGGCGACCGAGATTGGGATAAGTTTGTGTGTGTACTTGTTTGAGCAGCTAACGACGGTATCTCGTCTCGGCCGAGGGCTCTTCTCGGTTAGGATGAGACAGAACTACAACATCATCACCGGTCATCCCGAGAAGACACCGCAATGGCAGTGTCGCTACTTCTACGTCAAGTCGGATCAGCACGCTTTTATTGATCCCTCGGATTACGAGTTCCAGGTTTACTGGAATGGCGTAGTTGGTAGTTAGCTCGCCTCGATTATCGTTCATATATACTTTTGCTCATTCGACTTTTCTTCCTTTGCAGATCCTCACCCTAACTTCTACTTGACTGACGCTGCTGTTCCACCATCATTTCTCCCCGACGCTCGTGTTTTGGTGGAGTTAGGCCATCGCAAGTGGCCTGATATTAGCGAGGAAAGGATCCACCGCGCGATAGACCGCATTAACCAGGGTAAGATAGAACACATTCATCCTCCCCTTCCACTTCTCGTGTGATATTTTTGCTCAAGTCATGACTCGTACAGGTGATTGGGATAGAGTGTTACAGTACGAGGCCAGGCCCGGAAAGAAAAAGCCGACTCTCTTTTCTCAAGCGGAAAAAAAGGTTATTACGCAGGCACTTATGAGGAAGGAGCTCCCAGACCTCTCTCAGGTTATGGAGAAAAAGCGAGGCGGCGCTTCGCATGGCAATGCGCTGATGGGGGTGATCGACTCATTCGATCTCAGAGGAGGGACATCCTCTGAAAACCTGATTCCCCCTCCGTCCGGGGACGTTGCCGCTAACCCGTCGGAGCTGTCGTCTGGAGGCCCCAAAAGGCCGCGGTCGTGGAAGGAGAAGTCCAAATCGCCGACCCTGAAGCTGCCCGGGAAGATCCGCCTTCGGGTTCCCCTGCCAAGAAGAAAAGGAAGAAAAGTAATTCCAAGTCAGTCGGGGATGGGTCTGCCTCCAAGGATGCCCCGAATGTTCGTGATCACAAGGATGATGGGAGTCTTCCTGAAGGGGAAGGTACGGAAGGTCGGGAGCTCGTCATGGTGAACCCGACAGATGAGAACCCTTTGCTGGAGCGAGATGTGTCTCTTCCCGATGATCCCCAAGAAAAGACGAAGAAGTCGGGCAAGAAGAACAAGAAGAAGGCATCGAAGGAGACAGCCAGTTCCGATGCGGGGATCGGTTCCTCGACTGATAAGGCCTGCGGTGCTGACCCCAGGATCCTTCGATGCTCTGATCAGTTGGTCTTCAAAGAGGCCTATCTGAACGTGGCTCGACTCAAACAAGCGGTGAGTTATCTTTGCTTCTTCTTGTCTATGTTTAGGTCTTACCTCACTATTTTTATAGCTGACGTATTTATTCGCAGGCGGATGATGGGATCAACGCCTTGGTTGAGAGGTATGATGGCGAGCTCAAGGCGACGTACGTCAGTCTCGGGGAGGCGCAGGAGAAGACCGATGTTGAACGAAAGCGTTTGATCACTCTTGAGGCTTCACTTGCAGACTCAGAAGCGTCGAGAGCTGAAGCCGTTCGCTGGGCTGACGACAAGGCGAAAGAGCTTGAGGAGACCTAAAAGGAATTGGAAGCTGTCAAGGCTGCATCCACCGAACTTGAGAGTGAAAAAGGCCAGAATCGAGTCAAAGATGGCCAAACTCAGGAAGGATGAGAACTTCGAGGTCGCTCATCTGAGGAGGAGTCGGGTCCTCGAAGTCACCCGTAAACGAGCGAGGACCCAGTTTGAGATAGGCAAGAAGGCAAATGCTCACTTTGAACGACTCAAGGCTCGTGATGCGAAGATGGACGCGTATGACGACGCGAGAGGTCTCTGGAGTCAAGCCTTCGGAACTCGGAAGTGTTTGGAGTTGCTCAAAAGGGAGGGAGAAGCTATTCTGCAGGCGAAGATTGACGAGTTCCGGGAGGAAGAGAAGATCAACAAGGCAGAAGCTAAGCGGCTGTACCCCGGATCGCGTGATAAAGACGTTTACTGCCTTTCCCCGTTGGTACTCCCCTCCAAGTACGTTGAGGAGATGGTCCTCATGTATATGATGGCCGGTTATGACAGAAATTCGGACGACGGATTCGACCCAAGCGGTTCAAATGTAAACGAGTTGACTCCCGAGATAGCTGCTCAGCTTCGTTCTCCCGTCCATTCAGGCGGTATCTAGCACGCCCCCCGGTTCCTCCGATGAGTTTGACATATCGGGTCTCGACGGCACCAACGGCAGCAAGGAGAAGCCTTTCGAGGATGATAAGGTGAGGGCCAATCCGACTGAACTAGATGAGGATCAGGGCACAAGTCGACAGGTCGCAGCACGTTACCCCTCATTGACGAACGCTTCTCGAGCTCGAGATACCGAGGCCCAGGACCACGATGATGACGCCGTGACAGCTCAAGAGTAGTTAGTCGATGTAGATTTCCTTTTGTGTTTTACTCCGTAAGTGGAGTTGTCGTTTGGACAAAGTCTTGTAATCCACCAGGAATTTCGGACTCGTTTTGCCTTATTATATTTTCTATCAAAATCTTTGAATTCAGTTCGGTGCTCAGAAGCGAGAACTCATTTCATGGTTATGGAATTTAGTTGGGGGTTATCATAGTTCGTTCGCCTCCGAAGTAACCCTTGTTCTGTATCGAAACTTCATCTCCTCCCGGTGACGCAACTTTCCTGGTGAAAGTAAGTGGCCTCCTTGAGTCTATGTCGATGAGCATGCGGCCTGCAGAGAGATCAACTGTGTCTACATGCCCAAGTCTGTTTCCAATGTTTCGAAGGTTTCGAATCGTCCACA